TTTCCCTCTCTTTTTTTTATGATGACTCAGACTTTGGTGCTTTCATGTCTAAATTTCTCTTTTCTTTCTTATTTCTCATCATGTTCATTCAGAAGATGTTCTTTCACTAGTTCCAAAATTTGTATTTCTATATTCTGTCAGTTTTCATCTTGAAACATACACACAGCAATATGCTCTGAATCATAAAATTCTGCATTAAATCCCAACACTTAAAAAAAATATTCTCAACATAGGTTTACCTGCCCTTCTGTTCCCGTTTTTATTTAGTTCAAATTCATTAACATTTTTAAATTCATTAGCACTTATGAAACTTGAAACTTTATTTTAATGTCAGAAAGATTTTGGCTGTAAGCAACATAAAAACCAATGAATACTTAGTGGCTTAAACAATAAGAACACTTAACACCTGGGGGTAAATGTGGAAAGTATGGGGGTTCAGGTTAGTTCAATTAGTAGGCTTGAAGAACTCAGGTTCTTCCCATCTTTTTTTCTGTCATTCTTTTAAATCATTTTTATTGAAGCAGATTATATATAATAAAATTCATCAAATTTAAGTGTATAGTTAGAGTTCTGACAGAAGTAAAATTATATAACCATTACTACCACCAAGAACTTGAACATTTTAATCTGTCTGGAAAGTTCTGCTAGTCACTCTGCAGACAGTCCTGTCTGTTCAACCTAGTCCCTAGCCATTTCAAATAAATGGAACTATGAATATATTCTCTTTGATGTATTTCTTTCACATAGTACTTGCTTTAGAGATTTATTCAAGTCATTTGTATCAGTAGTTTGGTCCTTTATATTGCAGAGTGATATTCCATTATATGAGATACACTGTTATTGATTCACCCATTCACCCAGTTGATGGGATTTTGTTTTCAGTGTTTGGCTATCATGCATGAAGCTATTAATAAATAATCACATGTCTTCATGTAAATATAGGTTTACATTTATTTTGCTTGGGTAAATATCTAGGAACATGGATGCCGGATCATATGTTATTTAAAGTTACACTAGTCAAAGTTTCACTTTCTGAGGTTTCCTTTACCTGTAGTCAACCATGGTTCAAAAATATGAAATGGAAAATTACAGAAGTAAACAATTCATGAATTTTAAACTGCACATTGTTCTGAGCAGTGTGATGACAGCTTGTGCTGTCCTCCTCTGTCCTGCCTGGGATGTGACTCATCCCTTTGTCTAGCATGTTCACTTACCTTGTATACACTACCCATAGATTTGCAGCTGCCTGGGTTTTGAGACAATCTTTTGAGATATTACAGTGCTTATTTTTAAGTAATCCTTGAATAGTAGACTAAACTAGGTTATGGTATCCACATAATTTACCTCTCTTCATCTCCTTATGTAGCCATTGTCTCATATGTCATCATCACAGGAAGAAGAGTGAGTATATCATAGAACAGTGGGGAACTGCACCTCAAAACCTCAGTTCTTGCATCCTGATGAAAGAAAATTTAAAACCACATACAAAAGTCAAGCAAGAGAATTTTATTATAACTTAAAGTAAAGAAAGACTCAAGCAAAGACCTCTTTCTCTCTCTCTCTCTCTCTCTCTCTCTCTCTCTCTCTCTCTCACCCCCCCACCCCATATCTCCCAGCAAAGAATGACAAAGGAAACAATGCTTCTTCCAAATTTATTACTGTTTGCTGTTTATAAGGAGACCTCGGGTCCACCTTCTGCGGTCTTTACCAATCAGATGATCATCTCCTCCTCCATGTTGGTCCTCTATTGAACTGTTTTGGCAATCATCCTATTTAGGGTGGCTTCGTGTACAAGTCAAGCTTATGTTAACATGAGTGTTGGGGTCAATGACCAGGCAAAATTTATCTTAGTTCACCTGTGCTACTAAAAAACTTTTCCTTATGAGATATATTGAGAAACCTATAGCCATAAATCCTAACTTCACAATGATCTAAGTAGACCCTGTCAGGAGTTTGCCCCATGGATCTTAACTTTTTTAAAAAAATGTATTTCTTTGTTTCCATTTGTTTACTCTCAGGGATAGTACAAGTTACTTGAATATTTATTAAAGTCAACAAGTTACTTGAATATTTATTAAAGACAATTCAAAGAAGCCCCCTGACCCTGCTATTATGGGTTTATAGTTCTCTGCTCATTACTATTACCTAATGAGTACAAGAAGATATTTTGAGGGAGCAAGACCACATTCCCATAACTTTTTTAATTATAACACTATTATAAGTGTTCTATGTTATTTTTGTTGTTGTTAATGTCTTACTCCTCCTAATTTTAAATTAATCTTTATAACAGGTATATATGAATAGGAAAAGCATGGTATATTTAGGATTTGGAGCTACCCAATGTTTCAGACATCCACTGGAACATATCCTCTGTGGATAAGGGAGGACTATTGGATGACAAACTGCCAAACTATTTTCCAAACTTACTGTACAATCAGCAATATAACAAAGTTACAGTTGCTCTGCATCCTTGCCAACACTTGGTATTTTAATTGTTTGAAGAGCAAGTTTTTAATTTTGAAGCAGTTAAATTATGTATGTCTGTATTTAAGTTTCCAGGTTTAATTATTTTATACTTTCAAAGTACACAAACTTAAGTTTATCACAATTATTTTCTCTTAGTTTTTCTTCCAAAAGTTTTATAGTTTCAGCTCATGTGTTCAGACCTATGTCTATATTAAATTCCATATACTGGAGGTGCAGTGTGAGGCTTTTTGCTTTTTTTTTTTCTTTCTTTCTTTTTTGTATATGTGGATAACCAAGTGTTCTCATATCATATTTGGAATGTTCTGCATTCTCTATACATTCAACTTGTATTTTCTTCTACCCTCATAGTCACAAGATGATCAAGCCATTCTAAGCATCACATTCAGAACAATGTCCAGAAAAGACCTTTCTTTCTAGAAAGTGTTCAGGAAAATCTTTTCAACTCTTATTTCCTTGTCTGAACCACGCTTACTACTTACTGTCTAAAGCAAGCAAGCATTGGAAATGAGAACGAGGCCACCACAATACAAGAACATGGTATGTTTTTTATAATCATTCTAGGTTCTGGGGATACAGTAGTGACTAAACAGGCAAAAAATCTGCCTTCCCTCATGAAGCATGCAGTTTACTAAGGAAGACTATTTGAGTGTTGTCAAAATAAATGAGCAAAATACGTAATACATTGCTATATAGTGAAAATGCTAGAGGGAAAGAGGAAAGGGGCTGTGAAATATTGTAGATGGGTTAAAAGTTTAGATAGGGTGGTTAGGAAAGGTCTCACTGAGTTGATTTTTGAATACATACCTGAGAGAGTGATGCAGTAGGTCATGCAGATACCAGATTGAAGAGTGGTCCAGGAGGATGGAACATGCAAAGCACCTGAGAACAGCAGGAAAGCAATGGTGGTTGGAGAGAATAAAAAGAGACAGGAGAGATGCAGAACAGGTAGATTATTCAGATTAAGTTCTCAAGTAGGGCAAAATTGGCAAAATTTATAATATTTGGGGACATTTGGGGGTGTCAAACATGTGTGGAAAGTGTCGGGGGGAGGCCTAGGGGATGTTGCTGAAAATCCTGCCATGTATAGCACAGCCTACATCTCTGCCCTCTTCCTATCCTTTCTCCACAATAAGGAATTTTCTGGCCTGAATACCGGGAGTGCCTGGGTTGAGAAATGCTGTTTTAGATCATGGTAAGGATTAGTTTGCACTGAGTAACTTAGAATGATACTGAAGCGTTTCAAGTACAGATGTTATTTAAAATAGGCTTCTAAAAGGATAAATGGGCTGTTTGTTGTGAATAGACTGAGGGAGTAGAAGGAAAACAGGACAGCATTTACTAGAGTATTCGAGTTTTCCAGACAACAGAATGTGACTTGGACCAGGATCATGACAGTAGGAGTGATTGAGTGGTGGATTCTGGATATATTTTGAAGGTTAACAGGCTTTACTCAGACTGGATATAGGCTTGAAAAGAGAAGAGTTTTGAGTAATCTGCTCTGGCTGGTGCTGGATCTGTATCTTCCCAAAGAGAGTAACCTGGGGAACTGGTAGAAATTTGAGCATATTTAGAATGGGGGTGGATAGGTAAGTACTCCACATGGATATTAGGATAAGCAACCAGTCCTTTTACATATATATCTTATGAAACTAAGAATGGGCGTTGATGGATTAGTGTATAATGACTCTCAGGGCAAAACTGTTCTATAGACTAAGTCTCTTTAAAAATGCTTTCATATCTGTGACATATATACATATATTTTAATGTCTTATGCTTTCATTTTCAAAATGAAAAGTTTGATTAATGTAGGAAGTTTCAATTCCTGATTCGATGGAATTAAAGGGCTGCAATTTTACTTTCAGTATTTACATTCTAAATACTTACTGACTTTTCCTATGCAGAGTGTTAATGTATTGTTTAATGTTTCCTGAGCATTTGGTGTATTCTAAAATACTTTAAGCTCATTATGAGTCCTTCAGGGTTAAAAAAAATTCAATGTATTTCTCAACGGTCAAGATATCTTTATAATCAATAATCTTATAACCTAGCAAGTGCGGTTTTGTCCACTTGACAGATGAAATAGCTGGAGTTGAGTAGTTTCAAAATTTTTAAGATTATCCAACTAGTGAAGGACAGGACCACGCCTTGAGCCAAGGCGCCTTTGAGGATTTAAAGGCTCTCAAGCCACCCCTCCTGTTCCAGAGGCTTGGGCTGCTGGTGAGTGCTTGGAAAGGACCTGTTGCTTGACATCGAAGGTACAGACGCGGTAGAGGAGACCCAACCCTCCTCCTGCAAAGTGCACTTTGCGCCTGTTCCACCCCACCCTGAACTGAAGGCTCTTCCGCCAGTTGGGGAAGGCTAGGGCTGATAAAATAATTCTGTCCCATTTCTGATTTACCCCGCCACCAGCTCTTCTCCCCTCTGGGCGTGCACAGGCCGCGGGAGGGAGGGCGCCGGCTGCGGCCTGTTAGCGGCTGGGTGCTCAGGGCGGCGCCGGGCGCAGATGAGTCAGCCCGGCCCCTTGGCGGGCCGCCAGCGCGGGGAACTGGAGGCCGCGCCCCGCCCGGCCGCGAGCACAGGCGGCAGGCAGCGCGTGGCGGGCGGCGGACACTGAGGCCGGGTCAGTCTCCTGCTCTCGGGGGTGGGCCTGGGACCGGGGCGCGTCGCTGGGCGGGCCTGGGGTGGGGGCGTCGCTGGTGGGTTCTTGACTTTCCCAACTCGGAGAGCACCCGGCATCCCCTTCGCGGCTTTAGCGTGCGCCGAAAGCCGGGCGGAGTTTCGGCGGGGAGTGTGGAGTTGTTTCTTCTTTGGCTGGTGCGCCCGGAGGCGGGAAGATGGAGTGCAGACGCCGGCGGCGCCCGCGCAGGGCCCGGCGGCCTCTGGGGAGGGGGCGCGCGGGGCCATGGGCCGCGGTGACCGGGCGCCCGCTCCGAGGGCCTTGGCCTCCCAGACCCTGAGCCCGGCCCTGGCTGATGATGAAGTCCGCGGGTACCGGTCTGTGCCCGGAAACTCGTGTTAGCTCTTCATCAAACCCAGGGAAGTAACCCAGAAAGCAGAAGGGACACCCGTGTCAGGGCCTGGCCTTAAAAGGGCCACCCCCACCCCAGACTCCTGTGTCTCAAGCCCTGATGACATTCGCCTTTCGTGAAACCGCGTTTGTCTACTTAATTGGAATTTTTGCCATACTCAACAACAGTTGTTTAAAAAAGACTTGAAAGTTTTAAATTAGTAAATTCCTCCTGGGCATCAGTATGCACGATGTGCTGGTGAAGGGGACACCCCCCTCCCATAAAACTTTCCTTACTTTATGATACAGTACCCTAGTGATGGTTGACCGAATTCCTGGCTTCCCTTGTGTGTCTGCCAGGAGGACAGGTTAATATTGTTAAGGAACCATGCTGTGTTCCTTCATTATCCCTTCATTATGTTGATAGTGATGAGTCATTGACCAGGCCCTGGATTCAACAAGTGAGGGAGGGAAAAACCTGTTCAAAGGAGCAGATCCTTTCTCCTATGGAAGATAAGAAGGAATAGGGGAAAAAAACCTTCACATTTAGATGTGCTGGATTTATACATAACTTTTCTATCTAAAGTTCTTAGTTTAAAAATTATTTAGATCGTGGTTACTCCCGCGTTTAAATTAGTTTCAGGTGTTCTGGTATATATATATATATATACATATATGTATATATATATATATATACGTATATATATATATTTTCCCTTCTAAAGTTGTCTTTCAACTCAAAATCTTCCACTGTGGAATATTCTAACCTGGGTACAATTACGATTAATTGATGAAAGTCATATGGCTCATATTGTAGTTCTTGTTAACAGGACAGAATATAGCTGTACTCTATACCCTTTTTGTATTTGTAAGAAATACCTGGGATTTGGCCCAGGAGCTCGCTATTATGGAGCTACATATCCCCAGTCTTCCTATTTTTGAGACAGGGTTTTGCTGAGTTGCCTGGACTGGGCTGGAATTTGTGATCCTCCTGCTTCAGTCTCTGGAGTTGCTGGGAATACCAGGCTAGGGCACTTAACATAGGGCTGTTTTTTACTTTGAGAAAGAGGAGCCAGCCCTGAAATTACCCAGGAGCCTAATCTGCTAAATCATATATCTATGAAAATTCCTTGTTTATTTAACAAATATTTACCGAATACCTACTCCTTTAGATGACTTGCTTGGTGGTACATTGCCATGTCTTTCTAATTCAAAGCTGAATTCTTTCCTAGTGACTGAAGACCTTTCACATGGCATTCTTAAGGGAGTATTTGCATGTATATGAAATTTATTTTCTCTTCCTTGTTGAAAATTGCTAACCCTTTTTCTTCTTAAGGTCTATTCAGTAATGTTACTATAGAACCCCTAAAGGAATATTGAAATATTAATTAAAATGAAATTCAATAGATTGGTTGTTTTTTGGCTTTTAATAACCTCTTAGATTTCAAGATTGTAATATTTGTGAATTTCTAACTTGACTGTAGTGGGTGGGTTTCCCCAAACTGAATTAACTGCTGAATCCTAATTTATGGGACACTGGAAAAATTCCTCAGAGAAGACATTTTGGGCAATGTGTTTTAACTCTACGTTTTATTTGTGTGTGTGGTTTTTTTTTAACCATTTATCTCGCCCCTTATGCCAATAGGAGTGATGCCACCAAGAAGAAATGGGAAATACAAACTTCCTGTTCCACTTCCAGAAGGCAAAGTTCTGGATGATGTGGAAGGAAAACAATGGGTGCTGGGCAAGATGATTGGCTCTGGAGGATTTGGATTGATATATTTAGGTAAAGTTTGACTGTAAATTACCAAATATTTTTATCTGTGTGATTGTAACTGTGATAATGATATTTTTAAAAATTGAAACTCATATAATGTAGAATTCATAGATGTGCTTTATGAAGTAATTTAAAGATTGTTAATGTCTAGTATGTTAACTTTAGGTTCAAGACATGACTAACACACTCCCTGTTGTCCGTGTTTTCCTAAATGACTCTTAGAAATCTTTTCAGAGCATAATTATGCAATCTGCCAGACAAAATGTGAGTACTTTTTTTTGTTTTTGAAAGCTTGATTTCCTGGAAACATACTTCTTACAGTCAGAAACAACAACTGTAAAATATAAATGCTTTCTTTTTGTGAATCTTAATTGTTAATATTTAGGTAAATACAGAGGTCTAATAAATTCTGTTCTCCACTGGAGAATTAAGGTTTAATAACCCAGCATCTATGCATGGAATGGATTAACTTCTCTCTTGAGTGTGTAGAGTGATACTGGTTATGTTCCATCCTTTGGATAATTGAGAAAACAGACACTCAAATTATTTTTTCTTTTTGTTGTACTATGGTGCAGGTGGGGAACCCTGGTTGGTTATACCCCTGCAATGCAGTTACATACTTAAAATTTAGACAATTAAAATCTTTCTTAAGTCTGTGGTGGAATGAGGAAGATCTCCCTTGCAAGATTTGATTTGATGAATAAGTAATTTTTTTTTTTAATACCCTGAAGCTGGGGGTGGTGTAGCTTTTGGTATATGTTGCTTGGCATGTGAAAGGCTCTGGGGTTCCATCCCAAGCACCAAGACAACAACAAATAAACCACAAGGATAAATTCTACTAAAAGTGACTCACAACTATTTCTGTGGGTTCCTCCTCAAAATATTTCCAAACAAACCTGTTGCATGGATTATGAAAAATGGAGAACCTTTTCTGATAATGTTATGATTGTAGTTTTGAATAAATGAATGAAATTCAGTTAATAAACAACTGCTTGTTATCATTTTAATTTTATTAGAAAGACAAGATCAGCCCAGAAAAATTGCCTGGGTTAAGTGCGGTTTCCCCATTTAAAGGATTTCAACCTGCTTGAAAAATGCTATGATGTTGAGTGACACAGACAGCACTATTCAACAGAAATGTAATGTGGGCCACATATGTAATTTAATAATTTCTATCAAACACATTAAAAGAGTGTTAAACAGGTGAAATTTGTTGTAATAAAATGCATTATTAGGTGTTTAATATACCCAAAATATCATTTCTTTGTTATTATAAAAATAATGAAATATTTTACTTTTTTTGTGAACGTCTTTAAAATCCAGAGAGCATCTAGTCTCAAGGGCCCAGTTTTACCTGTGGGGTACCCTATGAGATAGTGCAGATAAAGTACAAATAGAGTAGAAATCCCTATAGAATAAGTGTTGTTTGAGACTTCAAATTAGTTAATTCTCTTAGAGCAAAGAGTGAAGATCTCTAGTATACTGTCTTGACTCAAAGTCAGAAATATGAAGTCAAGTAGATTATTTCTTTTTTTTTTTTTTTTTTGTACTGGGAATTGAACTCAGGGGCACTCAACCACTGAGCCATATCCCCAGCCCTGTTTTGTTTTATTTAGAGATAGGTTCTCCTTGAATTGCTCAGTGCCTTGGTGTTGCTGAATCTGACTTTGAACTCACTATCCTCCTGCCTCAGCCTCCCAAACTGCTGGGATTACAGGCGTGCGCCACCATGCTTGGTTTAAGTAGATTATTTCTGATGTGACTGAGCTATGGTCTTGCTTCCCACAGCTTATCACTTATACTTTTAGTTTTCTAACATTTGAATTACTTGAGTAATTCCAAAGAAAATCATTGACTGTAAAGATCTTATGCCTTTTTGCTTTTTAAAATGTAAATATTATTTATTAATATGTATTAATTTGTATTATATGTATTTAACTTCAAGTGCATGGTTAAGATTATTATGTCTGTACACATATGTGTACATGTTTATATGTGCTACTTGTTTGATTCCTGTTGTGAAGTTGTGAAAAGGGAATGTCTTTCCTTAGGTATAAGATTCATTTTTACTATTCAAATACAGAAGTCTTTTCTTTTTTCAGTCCAAATACGTGTCATATTTTTTTAATTCTTTCTCTTTACCAAAATAATACTTATTTTAAACATATTTCAAAGTTCAATGTTATACAGTACTCTCTAATATCTGAATTTTAGAACCTGGATCCGGGGAAGATTAGAAAGTATACCCCACTGGGGAAAGCCTTTAAAGAAATGTTTAACTATTTTGAGAAAAAGGCTCCATGCTTCAGAATGTATAATAAAGCTGTGTGTTCCAAATATTGTCATTGTTACCAAAAGTGGTACCAAAGAATCATAGAATCCTTTTAACTTCATTAGACTTAGTTTTTTTTATTATTTTTGAAACTATGTAAGAAATTACATTGCTTTTTGCAGTTCACTGTGGTTCACATCACTTCCTATATATAAATTAAGAAGCAGTCATTTTCAGGTTTTCCTTAATAACTTTGTGTCCAGCTATTTTCTTTTCAGATATTCTTTCCAGATACACTGCTTTGGCAGACACTTTATCAGCATTTGTTGCCTAAGGCTGAGAAGAAACTAGCCACTGTGTCTAACTCATTGTGCATGTGCAACTGTCCTCTAGCTTTGAGATCAATAGCCCAGGCCTCTCAGTAATCAGCGACTTACAGGAAAGGGGAAGGGGCAGAGAAGTTTGGTGTTTACTCTTGACTCAGAGAAATGATGTGCCTGTAGCATTAATAGAAATAGTTTTAAGAGGGAAAAGGAAAGTCTGAATACAAGAACAAAGTCAAGGTTCTTTCTTTGTTTCTAAAAGGTGTGGGGGCAGGAAGAAAGGAATCTAGTCTAGGGTATAGGGAAACTTGCTGTCATTTTAGTATCAAATGATTGAAAAAGTTTCTAAAACTCCAGGGAAACAGAATTGAAGGTCTGAGTTGTTCTTTTAATGCTAGGTATAAGATAGAATCAAGTAACTCAAGGGAGAACTGCATAATAGGAGCAGGGTTTTTTTTTGGTGTTAGGCAAATTTGAGTCCAATCCTAAATTGACTATGCCACTTAAAATCAGAGTGATTTTCACTTTCTCAATCTTTTGGAGTCTTTATTTCTGTTTTGTATAATTGAGTTAGTAATAATTATGAGGATTAAATGAGATAAGGTGTTTAAAGAACTTGGAATTTTGTAAGCACTTAATAAATGTAATTTACTTATTTGTTTAGAATTTCCCATTCTAAATATCTCATGCCAGAGTGGATTAGGATAGTGACAAAGACCTTCATTAGAAGGATTTTTTGTTTATCCTGTTATGGATTTTAGAAGAGTTGCCTATGTGATAAAGCTAAGAACATAGAGAATGTCCACAGAAATCTTCGGGAGATTTTGCTCACCAACCTATATATCTGCTTCGCCTCTAACATTTACTATAGAGGCGTAAGAGAGGGTGAAAAATTCTCGTTTAAACTGTACCTCTTCTGCTTCAGATAAGAAAGATAAATTTCAGAAATTATTTAAAATCCAGAAAAACAGAACTACAGGATAAACTTCCTCCAAATTTCTTTGCAGGATTGTCCTATGAGTAAAAGTAGATGTGATTTACCTATGGAAGTTTTAAATTTTTGAAGTTGGGCTTAGTGGTGACCATTTACCCTCTTTGGAGTGTCATGCACAGGGGGGAGTTCAACAATTATTTGCTTGAAGGATTGAGACTGAGATTAGGGTATTTAATCCACACAAGCCAGTTACCTTTGATCTCTTCCACAATTAGAGATGTTACCCTTAATCCAGTGTGCAGTTTCGACAGATGAGTACCCTTAGTCACAAGGAAGGTCAAGGCAAGGGAACTATCATGACATCAACCGAAAGAATGTGCATATGCTTTATTGACAGTACATCAATAGCATACTCTTGTATAAAGAAGAACACGTTATTATAAATGAAACTATGAGAAGTCTTAACAATTGGATTATTTCTTTGTGGATGAGTGTTTAGACTTTATCCCAGGGACTGTCAGACATTTTGGGAGTCATGTTGTCAGAATAGCCTAATTTTGCTTTTTAGAAACAGAAGGAAACTTTTTTGGGGGGGGGATTTTTAGAAATTATGAAAAAATAACTTATATTACTGGTAAGGTAATTTTTAAAAATGTTTTTTAGTTAATAGACTTTTATTCATTTATATGCAGTACTGAAAATCAAAACCAGTGCCTCATACATGCTAGGTAAATACTCTATCACTGAGCCACAAACCTAGTCCCATAAATTTTTTTAATAAATAAATAGAAAAATTGGCTGTGATGGATTGATTTTTTTTTTTTTTTAAATAGTACTGACTGGATATTAAACCCAGGCGTGCTCTGCCCCTGAGATATATCTACAGACCTTTTTATTTATTTGGACACACAGTCTAAATTGCCCAGTCCAGCCTCAAACTTGGGATCCTGTTGCCTTAACCTCCAGAGTATAGATTGATTTTTTAAGGTATACAGAATAATGTTCAGAAGAGCCTAGTGTAATGCTAGCAACAAGGTAGAGTTATTGTAACACAGACTGCTTTATTACACATTTCAGTATTAAATTTTATTTTGGCAGTGTTTTATGTAGAAGGCTTAGAGACAAGCAGTGTTATGGGGGAAAAAAGAGTAACTGAAAATAAAGATAATTTCTATAGGAAGCTATAGTATAAGTAGTTCTCAGATTAAAGTATAAATGATCAGTAATACTAACTCAAAATATGAATAATTTGGGATTTTTGTGAATTTAATATACTTGTTGGGTGTATAGACAAGAAATTAAAGTCTCTAAAAGGTGTATTTTAATTTTGTATGTATTCTCCATTAGCTGTTAATTTGGAGTTTTAAAAGAGCATTGCTCTTTTACCTGTAAGTCAAGAAACTAAGTAGCTAAGAAAGTTTGGGTCCTTTCTATTAAAAAGAGAAAGTTCTTATAAAACTTGGCCTTTGCTTTTGTTTTT